CTAATGTTCCTTCCCACACACACTGTAGCTTCTTGTACACTGTCATCACACATACACAAAATGGTTGACAGTCAGAAAATGCAGCCAGTTCTCATAACAAAACGGTACTTTAGTTTGAAAAACATACCATTTATGTGGAAATAATAATCTGTCATCCAACTGTCATCCATTTCCACTCATATACAATAACTCCTTCTAATTTTATCTTCATTATTATCGTCATTATTAAAATATATATAAAGGCCAAAAACCTATTTCTATTTCCACTAGTCCACAGGGATGAAATAACCTTTAATAGAAGTCCAGACTAGCCTTAGCTTTCCAATTCTAATACTGATTACAGTTTGGAAAACTCAGAAAAACTGAGGCTTGGACTGGCGTGCAGTAACCATTGGTTACAATGAGCTGTACACATTAACTATCATCAAAACTGTTCTTTTTCTATACATGTGAATGAAAGGCTTGTGTCTAATGAACCAACATCCCTCTTCAATCACCACCTAGTCAATCGGCCAACAGTTACACACTGAAAGTTCAACACACTCATTATGCAACAACACAAGTAAACAACTCAGAAAATCTACCAAAAGCACAGGTAATATCACAGTCACAATAGTAACTATTCCAATTATAAAGCGTCCGTAACCATGACAACACCATGCCAAGGTGATATGTATAGTCTCAGATTTCCCAGACCAAGCACATGCTCCACTCTTTATCCCTTCATATCAGCATCAGACTGCATCATATACAACATCATGCATCATGTGATTTCTGACAAAATCAATCATGGATATCTGACACAATGCATCATGACATCTGACACAAGGCATCATGATATCTGGCACAATGCATCATGACATCTGACACAATGCATTATGACATCTGACACAATGCATCATGACACCTGACACAATGCATGATATCCGACACAATGCATCATGACATCCAACACAATGCATCATCATGACATCCAACACAATGCATCATGACATCCGACACAATGCATCATGACATTCGACAAAAGTCATCATGTGACATCCGACACAATGCATCATGACATCCGACACAATGCATCATGACATCCAACACAATGCATCATGACATCCGACACAATGCTTCATGACATCCGACACAATGCATCATGACATCCGACACAATGCATCATGACATCCAACACAATGCATCATGACATCCGACACAATGCATCATGACATCCGACACAATGCTTCATGACATCCGACGCAATGCATCATGACATCCGACACAATGCATCATGACATCCAACACAATGCATCATGACATCCGACACAATGCATCATGACATCTGACACAATGCTTCATGACATCCAACACAATGCATCATGACATCCGACACAATGCATCATGACATCCGACACAATGCATCATGCAACATCCGACATGAAATGAATCATGACATCAAGACAATTACATCGTGTCCGATATCCTAAAGCCACAAAATAAACAGCATGATGCATGATGTCATACACAAAATTATGCGCTATGTAATTTCGAAACAAATTGCACTGTGTCATAAATGGAGAATCTCATCCAAGCGCTTTAGATATGAAATATATCTACACAAGTCGACAAAAAATGTAAAACTTGGCGAGGAGTTTTAAACTATTATCGACGAGTGTTGATATATTTGATATCAACATGATCAAAAGACACAAGGGTAAGATTCTATTTATCATCCAACATCATTCTTCCAACTCTTTCAGTTTGTAGACAGTAATAAGCAGTGTTTTAAGTGTAAAAAGTGCTGCTTACAGCTTCGGTAGCAGAGGCATTAGTGATGTCATTTGATTGTGACATCATGGTAACCAATGACGTCACAATGGTCTGCAAACCATTGCGATGCTGTTTTATTGCATTTCATTTGATCTCGCCCGAGCAATATCTCCTATGGGAGCCAGTTTTGAATGATAAACATAATATTTCCCCATGCAATATTCAACATGGTACATATGTTAAAACAACAACAACAACGTGCAGCAAGTGCACCTTCAGGGATAGATACGGGATACGGCCAGCTGGTCCACAACACAATCACAGCAGTTGTCCTTGTAACAATAGCATAATTGGGGAGAGTATCATAGCCTTCCACCATTTTCACTAAAGCTCCTGACAAACAGACCAGTGGTGGTGTCTAACCCTGAAAACATACATCATGTCAGCGTTAGAAATTGGCACTAGTCCTGTAGTCCTTGCCAAACTGCCCAATAGTTAAGGTATCATAAGGACAAGTAGAAATTGGCCATTTGTAAGGGATTTGCTACATGTTATCATTATAAGGACTAGTGGACTGGAACTGTTAATTTCTACCGCTGCTGATGTGCCATGCAATATTGCAAACCATGCAAACCATGCAAACCTATCACACTGACGCAATTAACTTGGTACATCTGAATGACGTCAATCAGCAATAGGTAAATAGGCCTCAGTGGGTAAAGAGTTCAATGATTTGATGACTGACATCAGACTTATTGATCTTGGTACTGCAGAACTTACTAAAAAAAGGTTGCCGATATTCTCAAGCCATATACAGTAAAACCCTTAGTTCACAACACAGCGATCAGGATAATACATCATCTAAAAGGAGTAGACAAATGTCAGTTACAGCCAAAATATAAAGAAAGGAAACGCGACATTTATCTAGATGCATTTTTATGCATCATGAAATGGGACTAGGCCAGGGCAAATTTTAATCAGGTCATTCAAACAAATTTCTTGCCTGCTACCTCAAGTTTTATGATTAACAGATACAAACAAAACATCCCCTTGACCTACAATGCTAAAAATGGGTACCAAACACTGCCACAGTCCTTCCGATAAATACTGGCTCATTATTTGAAGACACGCCTTTGCTAGTATATATATATTGGCCTGTCTTAAATGAGATTTCAGATATCTGTTTTGTCCTTGACACATACATAAAAAACTTAGTTAAGGAACTGTTTTTGTAACAAAAAAAGAATGTCTCTAAAATGATCCAAATGCCTTTAACTGCACATACATAATCATTTTCTTGCACCATCCCTCCTCCAACATAACATTCGTGCAATCCTGCACAGCAATTGTTGTTCTCATGGCATTATTTTTCTTCTCTTGTGCCCCTGTCATGGTACTCCTCGTGTTACCATGGTTACGGACATCTCTCCCAGTGAGACTTCATTGTTGTATATACAGTGGCTGCTATGTACAAAGGTTCCTGCTCACTTACAAAATTCTCACCTTGGTTACACACATATGCATCAACATAGCCTATGTAACCATAGCAACTGTAAACCATAATGCAATGACACATGGATGAAAATACAGACCATATCAAACACCTGAGAACATTACAAGATCTCGGCATTTCACAAGAGCAGACAAAGGACTGACAATGTTGTCTTCTCTGCCCTTGTACAATGAATGAAATAATCTCACAGGAGAGCAAGGAATACCTCTTTTAAGCAACTCTAAACCTGATATTATGAAATATAATTAATAATAAAGTTCAAGTAACAGTAAATAATCAACAAAATGGTGGTAAAGGCAATGGAGTTTAATATCACGTTCAGGATTATGGCACTTATATAGTGGTGTGCATGCATCTGTGTGCATGTGTGCATGTGTGCATGTGTATGTTCCCCTGTGTGCACCAGATGTGAGGCTCACACGCGACATGTGGGGAATCAATCCCAGGTTGTTGGCATGACAAGCAAATGCTTTAACCACTAGGCTACCCCACTGCTCCTGATGTCAATGGTTTAGTACTATAGTTATATGCCAGCTCATGTATCTTATTCCACCTTTTGTTATCTTATTACTTTTGTTTTTCTTACATGTACATAAATATGCTCTCTGCTCCATAGCATGTATTCACCTGATGAAGGAATAAGCACATACTCTGAAATGTTGTGTTCCTCATAATAAAGAAGTTGACATCCATAAATTCTCTTCCCGATACTCCCTATGCCTAAAATTGTACTCGCTCTCAGATAACTTTAACATTAGACGAACTGACTAGGGTTAGTATAGTGCAAGGTGCATATTGCGAACAAAATAAAAAAGTGTAGTTTTACGCAATCTAAATTCAATTCTTGTAATTCAAGTACATTTGGAATAAAAATATATATTAAAAATGGTCACATGATATGTTGTTTTTTCTAAGAAACGAACAGGTAATTTTAAGTACCCTAATACAATTGTAGAACTATTCCATACCTCAATCATACCTTTGCAAATTCAAGTATATTCCTTGCCTCCAAATGAGCCCTGTTGTACTCCAGGTTGTAAACATAGCTGTCACCCATGCGTCATCCATCCTACATTTAACTCTCAGGAATAAATACATAATACAAATGCATAATTAAAGAATAGGACTGTTACAATTATATGTACATATTCAATGGAACAGTTTTACAAAAATATTATATCATCAGTGTACATGTATATGTTTATTACCAATTATTGCTTCCCCCAAGCTTCAGCCAGCCTCGACTATCCAGGGTCTCTCCATTCTGTTGGCATAAATACCCTGGACCCACTCGCCACCATAGCTACATTTTGGTAGTGACGACACCTGCTCCATCTCTCTTATCACTAAACAAGCACACGATTTCTCTCACTCATGAGCTTGAAGTCAACAACCAATCAAAATGTCTCCTCTAAAGGCATGTTTGGCATACATCTTTATTCAAATCACAGTCTCATATGACCGAGCTCTCAATATATTTAACCAACTCAGAAGACTGTTTAACATGAACTTGTAGCTTGAAGAAATGTGGGAAGTTCTTGTGCTCAAGATTTCCTACTTATATTTAAGGTGAGGTGAAATTGGGTTTAACGTCGTGTCCAAAATTATTGCACTTATATAGTGACGTGCATACACTTGTGTGTGTGTGTGGCTGCTTGTACTAGTCCGGACTGATGCCGATTGATGCACACTGAGATACCATGCCGCAGTTTAACATGAATACCCCACTCCTTGTTTTAGCCCCTTAATACCGAGCGCCAGACAGGGAAACAACAAGTACCATCTTTTAACGTCTTTTGGTATGACGCGGCTGGGGATCGAACCCGGGACCTACTGCTCTCCGGGCGGACGCTCTACCACCAGACCACGAAGGCGGTTCTTATATTTAAGACGGCATGTAACATGGCAAATGGAGTATTAGTTACTACACTGCTCTGTCAGCCATGAAGGAACGGTGTAATTCCACTGGATGGTTATTTTTAGCATTGTGTCATTTGAACCCCACTCAAAACAAAGCTATGTTGGCAAAGGGTACAGGATATTTATCATAACAGAACGGAGACATAATACCCTGGACAATCGAGGATGATCTTCAGCTGATGATTGTAGTGAGAGTATCAAGGTGGGTTGACTCTTAGCCACGATTCTTAATAAAACAATTTGTAATAATATCGGGGGATTCCAAACTTCATTTGGGGTAAAGCAGAAAAATTCTGTGACTTCTCTTCTCGTCAATTGACTTCGGATACTGTAAACTTGTATATCAACAACATATGTAGATCACCAAGGTAGCATTAATGCGTTGTCACCTGCGACATTTGATTCTCATATCTCACTATAAAGACCTACACTTAGCATTCAATATCACAGACTGTACGAAAGTTTGGACTTGTGATTCTTATAATAGCATCATATATACAAAAGTTTGTAAAAACACAGAAAATTTGAAAATAAACAAATCTGTGGTCCCATTGCAAATTGTTTGGGAAATCATTCAGAGTAAGGACAGGACCCGTGTGAGAATGATCAATTCCAGAAATGATCCAAAGGGCTTCATTGAGCATGTCCTGTCATTCCAAGTAGGACCCAAAGGTCACAACAACACCCTCAAAACATCTCCAAGTCATTGAAGGCTGCAGTATTAGTGAGCCCACCATCTTCTTGCTCTGATGTACTTTCCTTGATCCGTGCTGCAAGTTGAGCCCGAACTTCTTCATCTTCGGGGGCATTTTCAATATGGATGACACGGTTGAAGGTCCTCCATCTTAGACACAACTGTACATACATCTTACATTGTACATACATGAAGACAAGTCCACCAGTGAAACCAATAGCGACCACTATCAGCTTGGTCCAGAACGGCCAGTTCAGGTTGCCATTGGCCACTTCCTCAGTGGTGCGGTCGATGAGGACGTACAGAGACCAGATGACACATGTGATGGCTATCATGTGGAATGTGACGGAGCAGATGATTTTCCTTCTTTCTGCTGATGACATATCAAGCTTCTCCCACTGAAACAAGAAGAAAGTTCACTTAGAGACAGCGTGTACATTGCCTAATCAGTGATTGAGTGACCAATAGCTCCTTGAACATACTTCAGTTATCCACGAGCATGTTTATGGTGCTAACAAACCTGTAAACATAATCATGGTAAATGTGGGATTCAAACCCAGGATCAGTTTCTGGCATGCCTCAGGGACACAACACAGCACAGAGGACAGTGGTACCTTAGACAGGTCCCAATTTCAACGATCAGGCCGGTGCCTAGTCTCCCTGCTGGTTTATTAGGGGTCTTCCTACTTGTCCAACACCTATTGTTAAGGGTACAAATTCACCTGGGCATTATGGGTGAGACAATAGGGGATTAAGGAAGGCAAAACAGTGAAAACTTTTAAAGTATATATCCATGAGTGAGTGAACATATTAATCATTCAGTACAATTTGGGCTATTCCCAGGACACTGGTCGCACAGAATTGGCAATACTTTACCTGATGATGCTGCAGTATATTAGCTTTATAACAGCAAGCAACATATCTGGGCCTGGCAAGCCAGACGTTGATATGATAATACCCTTGCAGTGTGTGTGTGTGTGTGTGTGTGTGTGTGTGTGTGTGTGTGTGTGTGTGTGTGTGTGTGTGTGTGTGAAAATCAGCAATATTCCAGCTGTAAAGAATCTGGACCAGAAAATCCAGTGATTGATATTGTAATCAATGGCTTTGGAGTACGATGACATACATCAATGATGACAACAAGTCAGTGTGCCTGACCTCCCGATCCATGAAGTCACCTTAGGTTGACCAGCATAGGTTGCTGGGGACCAATTCTAACCAGGCAGCTCCACTGGGCCATGCTGTTGAGGGCTTGATGATATACAATTAGGTCACACATTGTAACCACCTCGTCCTCAACATGACACATCAATAATGTTGGTCTATTTGTTGTGTAATGCCGCCCACATAAATAGCCCATCTATATGTCCGCAGTCTGTAAGTAACTTGTCAGGACAAGACAATCCAGTGATTGACATCATGAGCATCAATCTACACTATTGGGATACAATGACATGCATCAACAAAGTTGACCACCTGATCCTGATAGTTGCGTCTTAGAAGAAGCATGGGTTGCTAAAGACCTAATTCTAACCTGGATCTTCCCGGGGCCATAGCATTACTAATTAGTGTGTTGTTTGTTGTTGTTTAGTAATTTTCCTGTTATATCATGGCGACCTGTAAATATTTAAGACTGGAGTGAGTGAGTGAGTGAGTGAGTGAGTGAGTGAGTGAGTGAGTGAGTGAGTGAGTGAGTGAGTGAGTTGGGTTTAACACCGCTTTTAACAGTATTCCAGTTATATTGCAGCATGTCAGCTTAATGTGGGAGGAAAGCCCAAAGTGATGCAGGTCTCAGACATTTACCACTTCGGTGAAACCCACAAGCACGGGTATGGTGCTGACAAACCTAGAAACATAATTGGGGTAAGACTGGACCAGACAAACTAGAGATTGAAAATATGAATCAGAGACAACCAAGTCGCAGTGTACACAGCATAGGATGCGGGGAAGCTATTCTAAGCCTGGTGTTCCCATGAAGAACTAATTAGTGGATCTGACATTTCTTAATCATGCCAACTCCTTTCAGCATTGTGTGAGACAGTGAGTGCCATGCCCTGCCCTCAGGACTTTATCCACCATATGCACACAGAGCCTCAGCAACATGTCTTACAACTGTACCACAGAAGACCTAAATAAACAAAATAAAATCGAACACTTGTGTAAGCTTAGAAAAAAAACAACCAATCTGGCCACCACAGGTTTACCTTGTTACCATGGGGAAAAAAAGAATTATGTACACAACTTTCAAACAGCATCATCTGTTTAATATGTGTACAAAACTGTCATGGATAGTTGTGAACAGTATTTGAAATAAGCTCAAGAAGCATAAGGTGGTGGCTATAGTTAGCAACAGTGTCTAGTTCATGTTAAGACGACCCTACATAATTAACAAGAAAATCCAGGAACTTGGCTTCTTTAACCTCAAATTCAGCCCAACTTCCTTGATATGAAGGCTCCTAACAGCTTGACACATTGTCTGTTTTACAAGGTGTAAATACAAGCTGCAATAATTCCTCTGATGTGGTCTTCCTTCAAAGGACAGACTGGTGCTTGAAAACATTGTTTTTTTCCACCATCAAAATGATGTGTAGTACTTTTGTCATTGGAACATTTGAAAAGATTAGTTAGTATATTAGTTGATCTGAAAGAATAAATCTGTTCATCTAAACCAAGAGTATTACTGTTTCTCTTAATATTTGTAGGGATTTTAAACTTGACCCAGGTAATCTCTTGTGTATGGTTTGGAGTCTATGCATCAAATGCATCAATATAAAGCAGAGAGCGCATTTTAGTAACTCAGGGTTTCATCCAGCCGACAGCACTATCAGATTTGAATTTCATCCACAGAAAATTTGTGACTCGTCTCCCTCAACATCATGTCACCGTTGCACCGTTTTTTTGTCTTGAAAAATATTTGTTTAAATTAGGGGTTTGGTTTAATGCGGCTTTGAACAGTATTTCTGTCATATCAAGGCATGTTTGCTTCATACTGAAGTGATGCAGGTCTTAGATGTTTACCACTTTAACCGTATCATTAAAAGGGGTATAGTTCAATTAGCACTATTACAGCTATAAGACTGTTGCCTGGTAAATAACTGAACTGAGCAAGAGAAATCTCACCACTGAATACAAAGGGTACTATGCTTTTCTCACAAGCTAATCCATTTGACCTAAAATGTCTCCACATGATAAAGTACAAGTTTGAAGTTTTATATCCTAGATGACCCTTCATATTAACAGATAAGAGCTGGAATGTGTCATACACATATTTCTGTGTGTGTGATCTTAACGCCAATATCATCATGTGTGTGATCTTAACGCCAATATCATCGTGTGCGGTATCGAGACACATTCCTTCTGCCTGTTTGACTTGTAGAACTGTACTTACTAAAAACCAACATTACATAATCGTTAATTATTCATATAGAAATATGGAAAGCCCAATGATATAATCAAATCTGAATGACCATCATTCATTGATCAAAGTTTGTTTGTTTGTTGTTTAACGATGCACTCAGCAATATTACTGGTATATGATGGCGGTCTGTAAATAATCGAGTCTGGAACTAACAATCAAGTGATTGATATCATGATCATCGATCCATGCAATTGGGATCGATGACATGCATCAACCAAGTCAGCGACCCTGACCACTCATTGATCAAAGTCTAATACTGTAACACTAACACAAAGTGCTTGCAAACACACGGCTAAGCAATATGATTACCATTATCATGAAGAGTGATATCTACCTATGACCGAAATCAAAACTTATTCACTTTCACTCCATAATTTGCAACATTGTCAATAACATACTCAATGATATAATTAATCAATGTACTTAATATGCAAGTATTTTTCTGTGACATATCAACCCTGGAATTTCATATATATAGAGGATATTTCATGTGTCGAGTGAAACATCAGGTCTTCACGTGCCAAGCGAACGCTTTAACCACTAGGCTACCCAACCGCCCCCAGTCACGTGATGAGAGAAAAATGATATTTTACTCGACACATATCCTTTTTACTGTATTCAACGTAATAAGCGCACAGGGCGCTCTCAAAATTAGAAATAGGGGGCTCTTATTAGAATATGTTTTTGGTTGAAAGATATATTCCGTGGTTTATGCTGACAGCCTGAAATGTTTATGTACAACAGATATATTTTTCCAGAATTTAATTGCCCATAATTAAGGGTGCATATAACACATGAGTGCGTATTGTACGCAAAAAAATACATCTTGTGTACATTGATGAATCAGAAGGGGTGCTAATTGGGATTGTTCACTAGCCAATATATTAGGAAATATTGTCGTGGGCGCTTATTAGAGCGGGGCGCTTATTATTATATACTTTTTATGTTGTTGTCTACCGGAAATTAAATAATTCCATTACAACTGTGAAACCGTGAAATGTAAATACTCCCTACCTAACCCACATGGAAGGTTCACCCCCATTTGTATTTGCGACTATTTGCCACCCGTGCCCCCTCTGAGGAGATGATGTTCACAGTACAAGCATTGCATTTTGAGACAATTTAGAAGCATTGTCAAAGTGAAAATGTCACAAAACATGCATAGACATGATAGAGGTCAAAATACAAAATATCACATGTACCACATTTAATGACATTTTGAAGAAAAATAGATTGGTAATGTCCACAAATAGGATTTTCAACATAATCAGGAAATCATAATGGTTCTTGAGGAAAAGACGCACAACTGGCACCAAACAAATGGCCATGACATAAGCCCACTTAAGTGAGTTTGGTTTTACGCCGCTTTTAGCAATATTCCAGCAATATCACGGCGGGGGACACCAGAAATGAGCTTCACACATTGTACCCATGTCGGGAATCGAACCTTGGTCTTCGGCGTGACGAGCGAACGCTTTAACCACTAGGCTACCCGACTGCCCCTTAAGCCCACTTAACTTTCGGTCAGGTGAGCTCAACATTCACACACTTTACTACAATGACAATTGCAGACAGCATTGTTGGCAAAAAGTGTCATGACAAAACTGCATATCAAAGATAGTGTCATCATAGCACTGTGTAGCACTGTGTGCTTTTCAACATGCTCAGTATATTAGACAGTGATGGACACCTTTTCTTCATCACGCCAAATCATTGAGTGTCCATAACAAAGAAGCTGCATCAGCCTCGTTTAGATATTAGTGTAGGGTTCTCTACCGACTCGAGGTTCCAGGTCTAGTGTCCGGTTCTGACCCTAAAATGATACATGTCCTCTGTCCACCTTCTTCAAGGTGAGCTAAATATATCTCATTGACTCGTATTGCTCCTTTGTGCTTTGTAAACCCACAAGTCATTATAGATCATCATAATGATTGATTTAGCCTGTGCGTACAGCCATCATCTACAGGTGATGTGCAATGCCTG